CTTGATGAAACCTCTGATGAAACCTCTGATGATACAGACAGTCTAATTGAGGTATGAAGACTCTAATGCTACGGAATATCATATATAATTATTGTTTCACTTGGAAACAGTTTTAAGGTTGTATTTATGGATTGTTATAAATAGTTAAATGGTACAAATGTAAAATACATATAAAAGTATTATTTTAAAAACACAGTAAGCTACGTAAGAGTGTAACGCGATGTTTTTTGTTGTTGTTGTAGGCTATAACACAAATAAATTCTAAACAAAGGTATTGATGCCTATAGAAACAAAATAACCATATTTCACAAAGACCTGAACAATCCCATATGTGTACCCCCCACGGAAAATCTGACAGCCGAAACGGTTTTACAACACATAGAAAAAACACTTACAAGTAAACAGGACTTAGACGTGGGCGAACCATTTGAAATTGTACTTGGTAGCATACAATCACCGGTTGGTAACGGCAGGAAGTCTTACGTTACTAATGTACAGAGATACAAATGTAAAAAACAATCCATAATCGTAGTACGCGACGAAAACATGTGCGCTGCAAGAGCCGTGGCTATAGGAATCGCGAAACTGGGAGTGAGACCTGACGTTACGGTAGCCGCCGAAAATTACGGAACTTCCACGTGTCTTGATAATTTTGCAATCTTTGTTTAACCCCGAACTCCAACAGAGATCAACACAGTTGTGAAAAACACTGTATAGTGTGCACGGCACAAAATTGTAAATCCACGAGGTCTGTCGTATGCCAGGCTTGCAACCTAGAATGTCGCAACGACGCATGCTATCAACATCACAAATCCAACGGAAGGTGCGGACTCGTCAAACGTTGCCTGCGGTGCCACAAAACCTACGACGGCATAACTGACGAGCACAAATGCGATTGGTATCGCTGTGAAGTCTGCGATAGCATGGTGGAAGTCGGACACCTGTGTTACATTAGGGCTATAACCCCTAAGGCTTCTCTAACGAACTTCGTTTTTTACGACGTTGAGACCACGCAAAACACCGTTTACGAATGCGAGAGAGGCTTCACCCCATCAGAAACAACAAAACAGTGCGGTAACTGTAAGACCTCTAGCTGCGGAAAATATCGTCACGTAGTAAACCTGGTGGTGGCAAACACTATGTGCGGGGAATGCGAGGGAACGGCGTCGACGTGTCGAAACTGCGGTTATCACTCTTGCGACGGAAAAGCCAAGTCCAGCTCTTGCACAACCCTCGCTTGTGTAGACTTTAAATCCTCGGACGACTTCTGTAAATGGCTCATACACCCCAGATACGCCGGATACACTTGCGTAGCTCACAACGCCAAGGCGTTCGACAACTACTTCTTGCTGGAATACATGGCAAAACAAGGTAAAGCACCCAAGTCCCCCATTTTGCAGGGAAGTAAACTGCTATACATGGAGGTGTCAAAGGGTCTCTCCATGCGGTTCCTGGATTCCCACTCTTTCTTGCCCATGAGATTAGCAGACATACCCAAGGCTTTCGGCCTAACGGAATTAAAGAAAGCACCTATTTAACACCGCAGAAAACAGTCAATACGTGGGAACCTATCCGGATGCCGTTCACTACGGATTCGAAAAAATTAGCCCCGATGGAAAACAGAAATTTGCAGAATGGTACCGCGAAAAAATATATAACAAGGAAGTAGACATATTGAAGAAAGGATGCATGGCGTATCGGAAATTGTTGCTGCAGAGTACGGGAAAGGATCCGTTTACGAGTATGACTGCTGCAGGGGTCGCCATGTCTGTCTCCAAATCTAACTTTCTGATAGAAATGTACAACGTGAAACTGCGAGACAGAGGCTGGGTTTGTGCCATAAGAAAAAACGGACACTGGTACGTAGACAACGACGAAATCCAGGGAGAAGACATACTATTTAAAAAATTCTATTCACGGACCTTCCTAAAGTACCCCCTGAAGGTTATACCACTCGCGTCAACTTCTCCATGGAATCCATAGGTTGGCTCGAATTGGAATCAGCGTCCCGGGGTACATACATACAGCACGCATTAAACGCAAGGAAGAAAATTGGAAGATACCACGCCGACGGATTCAGCGAATCAATGGCCACAGTGTTTGAGTACAACTCCTGTAAATATCACGGATGTGAGACGTGCTTCCCCAACAACAGAACAAAATACAAGATACCGCCGTCGAATCAGTCCGTCTTGGAACTCAAGTCGCTTCACGATAACAAAGTCAGGTACCTACAGAGTTGCGGCTACCAAGTGGTCGTGAAATGGAACTGTCAGTTTCAGAAAGACAAAGAGCAAAATCCTGGACTCAAAGAATTCCTAGTTTGGACGACGAGACTCGACCCCAGGGACTCCTTTTTTGGCGGCAGGACTGATGCATTAAAGTTACATCACTTTGTACACGACGACGAAGAGATCCGTTACGTCGATTTCACAAGTCTCTATCCTGACGTGAACAAATACTGCGAATACCCTACGGGACACCCTTAGATAATTACGGCAGATGTTGACCCCTTGACAACTACTTCGGTTTGGCGAAGGTGAGGGTTCTTCCACCTAGAGGTCTATACATACCTGTTTTATCCGTGAAATGCAACAACAAATTGAAATTCCCCCTGTGTTACAACTGTGCAGTCAACGAAAGGCAAGAGATGTGTTCATGTACAGACGAAGAGCGTGCCATTTTGGGGACGTGGTGCACTCCGGAGCTTAGGAGAGCCGTAAAAATGGGTTACGTAGTGCTGAAGATATACGAAGTGTACCACTTCCAGGACAGTAGCAAGCAACTCTTTAAAGAATACATAGATACGTTCCTGAAATACAAGCAGGAGGGTAACGACTGGCCCAACTGGTGTGACAGCGACGGAAAAAAAGAGAGACTACGTCGAAGCGTACTATCGAAACTGGGGTGGACCCCAATAGAATCACCCACAACCCAGGCCTAAGGTCCGTTTCCAAACAGCAACTGAACAACTTCTGGGGAAAGTTCGCGCAGAGGTATGTGTACACTAACTGTAGGTATTTCACAGGAAATGAACTGGCAGATTTCTACCGCTTGATTACCGACCCACAATACGAGCTACTAGATTTTCAAATTGTCAACGAGAACCTCATGTATGTACGTACGACAGAGACCACAGCAACATCTTCGTGGCTTCGTTTACTACCTGCTGGGCACGATTGAAACTGTACGACGTAATGGAGAAATTGAAAGAGAGGGTGTTGTACCATGACACTGACAGCGTGGTATACGTACACGCACAAGGTTATCTCGGTAACCCCAAACTGGGCGATTACCTCGGACAACTGACGAACTGACTACCCCGCGACGAACACATAGTTGAATTCGTTTCTGCAGGACCTAAGAACTACGCGTACCGCACAAACAAAAACAACATGACGTGTAAGGTCAGGGGATTTTCCCTGAACGTAGAAAACGACAGGGCTGTCAACTTCTCTGTGATGAAAGACATCGTATTGTCGGACCGCGGGAGAGTCACCCAAACAGTAGACGCTAAAATAATGAGGGATCAGAAGACATTTGCGTTGTACAACGAAACTCGTACCAAACTGTATAGGCTCGTATACACTAAAAGGGTCATTGACCCCAACAGCTTAAACACGTATCCGTACGGCTATTGATCCTTAGTCCACACGCTGATTCCGTGCTTCGTTTGTGGAATGTTGGTTCTGAGAGGGTTCTGGGAAGAATCCATGTGTATACACTGCTGGTTTATGGATTATTAAAGCCTTTTTACTTTCAAAACCATTTTCCTGTAAATTTTATTACATGTTGTATATCATGTTAATTATTTATATGTATGACGTGTAAATTATTTATTACATATTGTATAAATTGCAGTGCAAATTATTAAATTGTAGATATTGTTAATTATTTATTGCATATTGTATATACTGTAGATTATTCATTTGTATAAAGCGTAAATTATTTATTAAATTGTAGATAATGTTAATTATTTATAGCATATTGTAATTTGTATAAAATAGAGAATAATACATGTTGTACATCTTGTAGAATAGGTATTTGACGTAAATTATTGTTGGAAAACATTGTAAGTATACATTTGCAAAATGAAAATATATACATATTGTAAATTAAAAAAAAAAAAAAGATGCAGAGAAAAGAAAAGACAAAAAAAAAACACATATGGGAATGTACTATTAGGGCTTGCCGTACATATCAAACAGGTGCCCTATTGTTCATTCTTACATGATAACCGCAATTCAGAATGGTAACATAGAGTGGGATGAAGCACTTCCAGACAGTCTGAAGGCTGAATGGGAGACATGGAGGAGATCTATAAAGAGTCTGGAGAACATTGAGATTCCACGAATCTTTGCAGAAATTGGACTTGACGATAGCGTACGGCGAGAGCTACACGTGTTTTCAGACGCCTCCCAAGACGCCATAGGAGCAGTGACATACATTAAACTGTATGATATAAAAGGACATTCTCGTGTGGGTTATGTTTTAGGCAAGTCTAAGGTGGCACCCACACACGGCCATACAATTCCTCGGCTTGAATTGTGTGCTGCTGTTCTTGCTACAAAACTCTCCAACTTTGTGGTGTAACATTTGCCTGTGGATTCTACATCCTTCTATACAGACAGTCAAGTTGTTTTAGGCTATCGCAACAATGAGACACGTAGATTCTATGTGTATGTCGGCAACCGAGTGGACAGAATCTTACGCTACGATCCTCTTCAAAGGACCAATGGAGTTACGAACCGACAGATTTAAACCCTGCAGATCTCGCAACTAGACCAGTGCCTGCAAATGACCTGGCAAATACTGTTTGGATCAAAGGACCTGTATCCTTTTTGGACTCTCAAAATGACTTGATCCAGTTCGACTTAGTTAATCCGAACCTGGATAAGGAAATCCGTCCTCAAGTGGATGTAAGAAAGACAACTGTATCTGAAAGGCTTGGTTCGCAACGATTTGAAAGATTTTCGACCTGGTCAGATGTAACGTCTGCTATGTCGTGGCTAAAGAGAAAAGCTGCTACCTACCACAAACATGATACTGAGGACATTCGCACAGACGTTGATCTCAAGAAAGAAGCCGAGATGTTCCTTCTGAAAGACATTCAAGAGGAGACTTTTCCTCTAGAGTTACATTGTTTGAAGGAGAAGAAACCTCTTCCTAAGGCAAGCAGTTTGATAAATCTTTCACCGACATTAGACAAAGATGGTTTACTTAGGGTTGGAGGTCGACTGAGCAATGCAGAACATCTATACACTGGAGAGAAACACCCCGTAACCATTCCCGGAAAGCATTATATTGCCACTCTGTTAGTGAGGCATTATCATGAACAGATACGACATCAGGGTCGCCATTTTACAGAGGGTGCAGTGCGTTCTGCTGGTTACTGTATCACCGGAGGGAAAAGGCTCATTAACTCCATTTTACACATCTGTGTTAAATGTAGAAAGCTCAGAGGAATGTTAGAACATCAAAAAATGGCAGATCTGCCAAGTGACAGACTAACACCTAGTCCACCATTTACATACGTAGCCGTTGACACATTTGGACCATGGCAAGTGGTTACTCGACGCACACGAGGTGGACAAGCCAACGCCAAACGTTGGGCCATTATGTTCTCCTGTCTGACGACTAGGGGAATTCACATTGAGGTCATAGAGGAACTTAGTGCGTCATCGTTCATAAATGCTTTACGGAGATTCACGTCACTGAGAGGCCCTGTGAAAGAGATCCGGTCAGACCGGGGAACTCATTTCGTAGCAAGTACAGATGACCTTGGAATAAAGTCACTCAATGTAGAAGACGATGAAATCAGAAAATGTCTTACTCGTGATGAAACCATATGGAAGTTCAACCCGCCACACGCTTCGCATATGAATGGTTCCTGGGAACGAATGATTGGATTAGCTCGAAGGATCTTGGATTCGATGTTGAGTGATCTTAGTTCGAAACATTTGACTCATGAAGTCTTGTGTACCTTCATGGCAGAAGTGTGTACGATAGTAAACGGAAGGCGCAATTACTGGCCTGTTGGAGTGGTGGAGAAAATGTTACCCAGTTCTGACGGAAGTGTCTGAAAGGCTTCAGTGCGCACCGTAAGAAATGGCAAAGCAGTCAGTTACACGCGTCCCGTTACACAGTTAGTGTTCTTATTCTCGTCATCATGAAATGATTAAATATGTTGATCTTTAGTCGTATTTTAGGAACTGAACATTTATGAACTGCGTTCAAAAGTGAACTGTGACATAATCTTTATAGTGATTTTGATATTCCAAAATCAGACGGGGAGTGTGCTGTTTGTGAATTTAGTTTATAATCATGTAGGAGTTATTTCCCCTTATCTATAACTTGTTTTATTGTATCCGGAAAAGGCTTCCGACTCCGTTTATTAGTGTAACCGGAAATAGGTTTGTTTGAGAAAAAGACATGCTCCCGAGCAACACCATCAATATTTCATGGACAAAAACAAGGAAAATTAGGTTCCCCCAAAGAGTAAGTTTTGTTCCCATATAGTGTCATAATATGTCAATTGATACATGATACACTTTTTTTGTGATTTGTAAGAGAATATTATGTAACTTTTTGTGATGAGTTAGTGAGTATTATGTTACTTTTTGTGACGAGTTAGGGAGTATTATGTTACTTTTTGTGATGAGTTAGTGAGTATTATGTTACTTTTTGTGACGAGTTAGGGATTATTATGTTACTTTTTGTGATGAGTTAGTGAGTATTATGTTACTTTTTGTGACGAGTTAGGGATTATTATGTTACTTTTTGTGATGAGTTAGTGAGTATTATGTTACTTTTTGTGACGAGTTAGGGATTATTTTTTTTTGTGATGAGTAAGGGATTATTATTTAACTTCTTGTGATGAGTGAGTGAGTATTATGTAACTTTTTGTGGTGAATTAGGGAATATTATTTAACTTTTTGTGATGAGTAAGGGAGTCTTATGTAACTTTTTGTGACGAGTTAGGGATTATTATGTAACTTTTTGTGATGAGTTAGGGAGTATTATGTAACTTTTTGTGATGAGTAAGGGAAAATTATTTAACTTGTTGTGATGAGTTAGTGAGTAGTATGTAACTTTTTGTGGTTAGTGAGTATTATTTAACTTTTTCTGTTGAGAAAGTGAGTATTATTTAACTTTTTGTGGTGAGTTAGGGAATATTATTTAACTTTTTGTGATGAATTAGGAAATATTCTTTAACTTATGTGATGAGTAATGGATTATTATTTAACTTCTTGTGATGAATGAGTGAGTATTATGTAACTTTTTGTGGTGAATTAGGGAATATTATTTAACTTGTTGTGATGAGTTAGGGAGTATTGTGTAACTTTTTGTTACGAGTTAGGGAGTATTATGTAACTTTTTGTGACGAGTTAGGGAATATTCTTTAACTTTTTGTGACTAGTTAGGGGATATTCTTTAACTTTTTGTAACGAGGTAGGGAGTATTATGTAACTTTTTGTGACGAGTTAGGGAGTATTATTTAACTTTTTGTGACGAGTTAGGGAATATTCTGTAACTTTTTGTGATGAGTTAGGGAGTATTATGTAACATTTGTGGTGAGTTAGGGAGTATTATGTAACTTTTTGTGGTGAGTTAGGGAATATTTTTTTTTTTTGTGTTGAGTAAGGGAGTCTTATGTAACTTTTTGTGATGAGTTAGGGAGTATTATGTAACTTTTTGTGATGAGTAAGGGAAAATTATTTAACTTGTTGTGATGAGTTAGTGAGTAGTATGTAACTTTTTGTGGTTAGTGAGTATTATTTAACTTTTTCTGTTGAGAAAGTGAGTATTATTTAACTTTTTGTGGTGAGTTAGGGAATATTATTTAACTTTTTGTGATGAATAAGGGAATATTCTTTAACTTATGTGATGAGTAAGGGATTATTATTTAACTTCTTGTGATGAATGAATGAGTATTATGTAACTTTTTGTGGTGATTTAGGGAATATTATTTAACTTTTTGTGATGAGTTACGGAGGATTGTGTAACTTTTTGTTACGAGTTAGGGAGTATTATGTAACTTTTTGTGATGAGTAAGGGAAAATTATTTAACTTGTTGTGATGAGTTAGTGAGTAGTATGTAACTTTTTGTGGTTAGTGAGTATTATTTAACTTTTTCTGTTGAGAAAGTGAGTATTATTTAACTTTTTGTGGTGAGTTAGGGAATATTATTTAACTTTTTGTGATGAGTTACGGAGGATTGTGTAACTTTTTGTTACGAGTTAGGGAGTATTATGTAACTTTTTGTGGCGAGTTAGGGAATATTCTTTAACTTTTTGTGATGAGTTAAGGAGTATTATGTAACTTTTTGTGATGGGTTAGGTAATTAGTGACAGCCCAGTTATTTTGTTATTTTAGTATGCTCCGATGTTGATGGTTATATATGCCTATATTTTTAAAAAAACGGGGTCAGAGGACGTTACCACGGCCTCCATGTCTGTCCGTGTGGTGACTCCAGAAAGTACCAACAGGGAATTCAGGCCTGAATTCATGGCCAACAGGATGTCGGTACTGGGCCTTGAAAAGAATGACAGTCGATCGGTTAACAGTACAGAAATATCTGGTAAACTTGATTCACCATAATGGTCAAATCAACGAGGAAAGCATTTCGAAAGTTTAATAGGGTGTGTACAAAAGATTGTGCGACGAAAAACGTTGATCAATATAGGAAAGTCATCTACATCACATCGGTATCAAATGTAAAAAGGAAAGAAAACATTGATTGAAATCAACAATTTGGTGGCATAACCGAGTTGATTAAAGTGTGATGACGTCAACGCTTTTCACGTAATGTTACATATTTAATTCACAAAGACATGACACCAGGTGTATCATGAGGTATAGAAATATCAGTAGACAGTTTAAACATTGAGATCAACATCGGACGCATAATAAAATAACAAAATAACTGGGCTGTCACTAATTACCTAACCCATCACAAAAAGTTAAATAATACTCCCTAACTCATTACAAAAAGTTACATTATACTCCCTAACTCACCACAAAAAGTTACATAATACTCCCTAACTCATCACAAAAAGTTAAAGAATATTCCCTAACTCGTTACAAAAAGTTAAAGAATATTCCCTAACTCGTCACAAAAAGTTACATAATACTCCCTAGCTCGTCACAAAAAGTTACACAATACTCCCTAACTCATCACAAAAAGTTACATAATAATCCCTAACTCGTCACAAAAAGTTACATACTACTCCCTTACTCAACACAAAAAGTTAAATAATAATCCCTTACTCATCACAAAAAGTTAAAGAATATTCCCTAATTCATCACATAAAGGTAATAATATTCCCTAACTCACCACAAAAAGTAGCATAATACTCCCTAACTCACCACATAAAGTTAAATAATACTCACTTACTCAACAGAAAAAGTTAAATAATACTCACTACCCACAAAAAGTTACATACTACTCACTAACTCATCACAACAAGTTAAATAATTTTCCCTTACTCATCACAAAAAGTTACATAATACTCCCTAACTCATCACAAAAAGTTACATAATAATCCCTAACTCGTCACAAAAAGTTACATAATACTCCCTTACTCAACACAAAAAATTAAATAATATTACCAAACTCACCACAAAAAGTTACATAATACTCACTCACTCATCACAAGAAGTTAAATAATAATCCCTTACTCATCACAAAAAATAAATGATATTCCCTAACTCGTCACAAAAAGTAACATAATACTCACTAACTCGTCACAAAAAGTGCCAAATTACTCACTAACTCATCACAAAAAGTAACATAATACTCCCTAACTCGTCACAAAAAGTAACATAATACTCACTAACTCATCACAAAAAGTTACATAATATTCTCTTACAAATCACAAAAAAGTGTATCATGTATCAATTGACATATTATAACACTATCTGGGAACAAAACTTACTCTTTGGGGGAACCTAATTTTCCTTGTTTTTGTCCATGAAATATGGATGGTGTTGCTCGGGAGCATGTCTTTTTCTCAAAAAAAACACTATTTCCGGTTACACTAATAAACGGAGTCGGAAGTCTTTTCCGGATACAATCAAACAAGTTAGAGATAAGGGGAAATAACTCCTACATGATTATAAACTAAATTCACAAACAGTACAAGGAAGTTTCTTTGCTCAAAAAATGACGCCAACCCATTGAATATTGGAAAAGTTGTGTGCGATGACTGCAAAAAAATAAAAAATGGCGGGTGTTTTCGGGGGAAACGGAGATAATGTCTGTGGAAGTGTGTGCTGACCGCTCTGACGTATAACCGGTCAATAGTGACGTGCGGCGGGTAATCACAACAGTGAAACAAATTATCACCAAACAGACCGGAACGTCTAACGACATGGATGTGCGCTACTGACTGCATATGCAGATCATGCAAGACAAGATAAGCTTTCGTGTTCAATGTAGCACTTGTATTTGAAACCTCTCTTATATAGTTTTAGGTCCCACTTTAAGATGCAGTCCACAGACGGAGGAACTATATATATCCTTGTATGGTCGTTATCAGTTAGTTCCCTTTCCCAAACTCACAGACAGTTTGTTAGAAAGTATTTTATCATATATGTTAATGAGTGTTAATCTATTTTTTTTTTAAATATATGAGAACTAAAATTTGCAAGAGAAAAACTATAGCTAACATTCTTGTTGATATTTTACCTGTCGATACTTTACCTGTGCATGCTGCGCAAGAATAACCAAATACAGTCTAACGATGTGCTTGTCTCAAAGATCTTGACATTCACGCAGTAGATTCCTTTGCTTGTAAATGGTCGAGATCCCAAAACCTCTGTTTTGTGGTCGTTTTGGATATTTGGATGGGTTTTAGCCATTGCGAACGCAGTTTGTCCGTCCCTCCGCTCACAATTACACATAGAGCGAGAAGCATGGTGGAGCACCTCTCGTTATTGAGTAAGAAGCAGTTGAAAGAATTTTCAGGGGTACATGTAAGTGTTATGCATTCAATCATCAGAACATGATCAGTTCAGTAGACGTCATCGTCACTTTTTCTCTCTCTATATTTTGACGAAAGATTTTTCTCTGTGAAATCTC